GTATGAATATACTCATCGACTGACTCGATTTACTTGTAGCATTCATAAAATATTGTGTCTGAGCGCTGTTGTTTGCTAAGTAAAAAACTTGTGTGTGTTTAGTTTTATGCTTTTGGTGTGTGCTGTTGTTGTTAGCATTGTAAATGCATGTGTTTTGTTTGTGTTAAATGTTATAAATACATTAAATTAGGTGTTGTTTTAATAGGAAATTATGTGTGTAAATTCTTGCCGACTGTGACGTAATACTCATAAATGATTTGCAAAACATTTGCATCATTTTTGTGTCGAAGACCGGTCTTTATGAATATCATATGAGCAGAGTAAAATCGTTATAAGTGCATTCAACTGTTTGTATAAATCAAGTGGAGTTCAATCGTGGAAAAAAAGAGCTAGAATGCACATAAATGAATCACAGTCAATGATTCGAGTGTTGAGTACTCAATGCAGTTCTGTGATATGAACTCTATTATTAAAGCTGTTATTGAATTTATTATTAAAATGAGTAAAAAATAAACTTAATTTTCATTAAGATATACATATTTCGGTGTTTATTGTATTTCGAAACTATATACATATATAAGTAGTAGTTGTAATATAGAACAAATTTTGTGTAACCGTTCAAAGATTATTAATTTGCAGTTTTCGAAGCTAGTTTCCAGGAGGCCAAGTGTTGATATGGATCGTTTATATGAAATAACTGGTTTATTTTTGATGTCGCTCATTGTTTTGGTTTTGCACTTAACAATCTACTCTTAAGAACCAGTGACCTATATCCCAATATATAACATCAATGCGTATCTAAAATAAAAACCTAATAATTTCCATAAAATCTGTTATTTTTAAAATACCTAACAGTCCTGCTTGGCAAAACTTATCGTATAATATTTGATGGTATTTTTAGCATTGCTTCCTTTTCTGCTTCTTTTTCAGCTAGAACCGTAACACGAGTAGGAATCATATTAAGAATGTAGCGTAGTTTCGAATTCTTCGTTTTGTCTGATAAACAATAATTCCGTAGCATAATTAATTTATTTAAACTGGCGCATCTTTCATTAATAACTGTATCAGTTTGTAGTCTGACAAGCTCTAAGGTGTTCAAAATCGATCCAAGCTGTTTGTATTGATCTGCCGTTTCAGCTTTATGATCCTCGCTATCACTCTCAGACATTATTGATTGCGAATTCCTCTGTGTATTGTGCAAAACCAAAATATTTGAACGATCAATTTAAAATTTTTCACGAGAAGCCAAAATGTTTATAATTTCTTTTTAAGTTGACATCTTTCTAAATAAATTAAACTTACATTTTTTTACATATTTTATAATTATTTTAGTGTAAGTTATTTTGACAAGTATTCAAATGATATGAAGTGACTTGATTCTTGATTCTTCTTCTTCTTGAGTTAGTGCTACTACGCACTACCCCACACTAGGCTTTAACTAGGCTAAAAAAAAAACATATAATTTATTTCTCTTTTAGTTGATGACGGACTTTAAGTCAGCACATCTTCCTGAGAGTCCAGAAGTGGACTTGAGGATTGTTAGGGCGAGATTAATTAGCGTATCAACAAACATACTACACAAAAAATGTTGGAAACACTGACTTAAGATGCAAACCCTAATATTTTCAAGATCCCTATTATATCTTGCATAAATGGAGTAACTAATTGTTAAAAAAGAGTGAGATTATGACTCCTCTTTGAAATTTTTGTCAATACAGTATGTTTTACGTGTTTAAAATAATATATAACTTGTGTTCTAGGTACCGATTCGAAATCAACAGTAGCTGTGAGATGTTATTTTCTAACATAATTCGAAGAAAACTAGACAAACTTTCAAGTCAATTTTAAAACTTATCCAGTTGAATAACACCCAACATGGGTTTGTGAACAACATAAAATTAAAAACTCCATTAGACGTGTCTGTCACAATATTTCAAACCGAAAACTGAAGAGATATTTAGAACCAACTCGAAAACAACAAAAAGACATATACACTTATTTTCGAATAAGATTTGTTGTCATTAAAATATTAATACTGGTAAAAGAGTCCCAATTAGCCTTTAATAATATATGGGAAAAGAGTCCCAATAAGTTTTTAATAATATAAGGAAATTAATCTGTAATAATATAAGGCAATAAATAAGATAGGAGTATAAAATTGGTTTAAGTTGTCTTTACAAAATCAATATATGTTAAAGACTGATAAGTAATAGATTTCAAATCTAACCTAATCACCGTAATTCCTTACTGATTCAAACTATCAACAAATACCGAGGTTTCTTCAAGATCTTCTATTAAAAGTTCACATTACGAAATAATACTCGTATTTGACTGTAATTTGTAGTGTTTTAAGATAGCCAAATAATTATACACTACACTACTAATATACATTACTAAAAAAATACACAATATTATAATAAAACTAACTCTTTCATTATTTACTATATATTGTAAAGAGTTTCAGGAACCATCTTCATTTCTAGACAAACTTTAAAGATCTTAGAAATCGATCTTTATACCAATCGTCTTCATAATTGGTATCACATTTCATGTATTTATATGTGAAAGTAAACTTTCTATTGATATTGTTTTAATATAGATGAAAAGTGGTTTAATGTAGGAGAGATTAATGATTTTTCGATTTATAAGGATGTCTTGATAATATAAATACCACATTTAATGTCCATTCCGCAGAAGGCAGTGTGGCCGAGCGGTCTAAGGCGCTGGTTTTAGGCACCAGTCCGAAAGGGCGTGGGTTCGAATCCCACCACTGTCAGAATTTTTTATTTGATTTTTTTTTAATACATCTGTAAATGCGTTAGAAACAATGTATATAATTATATGTATACATTAATTAAATCAAATATATCGTTATAAGCATATATATATGTATATATGTATATATATAT